TTGTATTTTATTTCTCAGGCATTTTCGTTTTGTATTTTGATGAACGTTGATGCTCTGATTGAAATGGAAATGTTTTGTTTAATTTGTCTCTATTTTCAACAATGTTTGTGGTAACTTGATTCGGTGCGTTCATGTAACTCTTCAACGAGGTAATTGGAATGAATCTTCAATGTATGGTCAACATATTTTTCATCCTTTAACTGATATCTATCTGTGTAGTTGTAAACTTCGAAAATCTTTAACACATGCCCTACCTTCAGAGGTGGTCGAAGCATGCGACCATCTAGCCTCACGACCTTAAACGTGATGGATTTTTTATTCGAGCATATGCCCGCCCTCAAAGGAGTTGTCGTTACATACGACCATCCAGCCTCACGACCTTAATCATGATGGATTTTTTCTTCGAGCGCATGCCCACCCTCAAAGGGGTGGTCGTTACATACGACCATCCAGCCTCATGGCCTTAATCATGATGGATTTTTTCTTCGAGCGCATGCCTACCCTCAAAGGGGTGGTTGTTACATGCGACCATCCAGCCTCATGGCCTTAATCATGATGGATTTTTTCTTCGAGCGCATGCCCACCCTCAAAGGGGTGGTCGTTATATACGACCATCCAGCCTCATGGTCTTAGTCATGATGGATTTTTTCTTCGAGCGCATGCCCACCCTCAAAGGCGTGGTCGTTACATACGACCATCCAGCCTCATGGCCTTCTTCATGATGTATTTTTTCTTCGAGCGCATGCCCACCCTCAATGGGGTGATCGTTACATACGACCATCCAGTCTCATGGCCTTAATCATGATGGATTTTTTCTTCGAGCGCATGCCCACCCTCCAATGGGTGGTCGTTACATACAACCATGCAACCTCATGGCCTTAATCATGATGAATTTTTTGTTCGAGTGCATGCCCACCCTCCAAGGGGTGGTCGTTACATACGACCATCCAGCCTCATGGCCTTATTCATGATGGATTTTTTGTTCGAGCGCATGCCCACCCTCAAAGGGGTGGTCGTTACATACGACCATCCAGCCTCATGGCCTTAGTCATGATGGATTTTTTCTTTTCTCTTTTTCTTTTTATATATCCTGTCAGCAGGGTTAATCCGGGGATTCCAGCTATATATAAGAAAATTCGATAAACAGTAAATTGTAGAAATTCCAATATGCCATTTCATTGATTATCGAGCAAAGAAGTTCATTACATTGATGCTAGCGAGTTGCTATATGAGTAAAAAGAAAAATTTTAGGCATAATATTTTTTCAAGTTAGCTACATTCCATGACCTGGCTAGAGATTTTCCTTCCACATCTTTTAGAGA